TTTATTTATTTATTTACTTGGCCTTTTTTTTTTTTTTTTTTGGTACCAGGGATTGAACTTAGGTCCTTTCGCTTGCGAGGCAGGTGGCGGAACCACTGAGCTAAATTCCCAGCCCCTTACTTGGCATTTTTATTTTTATTTATTTATTTATTTTTTGGTACCGGGGATTGAACTTGGGTTCTTGAGCTTATGCAGCAGGCGGTGAAACCACTGAGCTAAATTCCTGGTCATATTTGACATTTTTAAATGAAGGTAGAGGTTGACATTTGGTGTTATATTTTTTACAAAGTCTTAACTATTTCTATTTAGATATTCTGATGTTTGAAGTTGTAATCAGATTTGTGTCAGCCCCTGCTCTTGTGTGTTTCTTCCATTGTCAGGAGGGGTGAGGAGCAGCATTATTCCCCATTAGTAACTAAGCCCCACTTGCTGAGACTGCTCTGCCTCTTGTCACCAGCTCTGGGTGGTTCATTCTTTTAAACTTCTAATTGTGGAATGTGACCACTCTTTGTGTGGTTGGCAAGTTTTGCCTTCAGATTCTTACTGATAGTGGTTCTAGTTACACATGTCTTTGCTTTGGTCTCGTAGAACTAAAAAGAATATCTTTGTGGAGGGAAGTGTGAAGTAGAAGTGATTGCACACCCTGTTTAAGACGGGAGTGGAAGTTTCTCAGGGCAGAAATGGGGATGTTACACATTTGTAATGTACGTGCTTAGTACCGATGGTCCCCAAGGACAGCATTACTCATGCTGATGATGCCACAGATGACAGCTATTCCATAGGGAGGGGGAAAAGGTATTTTTAAAGCCAACTTTTAGCGCAAAAGACTGAAGTTGGGAGTATGGCATCACTAGAATGTTAAGTAAAAAATGGTCATAATGTATAACCTGGTATTTTGTTAAAACAGTTATGACTGGAAAAAAGTTTGGTTTGGACTTGCTTTTTAGGTTTTAATAAGAGCTTTTTGATGGAAGTGTCTTTGTTGACACAGGTAGAAAATTTCAAATATAGTAGTGTTTGAATTCTGACAACAAACATGGTTGTCTTAAGTTAGATATTGTGAGTGTAAGGTTAATAGGCGGTAGTCACAGCTGGTAGGAAATAAGTTTGGGGTCTCTTCCCTGTTTTGACATTACTTGGCCTTTTTATCAAAGTGGAGATAGGGCTCTGGTTCCTGAATGGCTGCTGCTATTGAAATGAATGGCTTTTAACATGGCCTCAGGAATTGCCACATGTTTGGAACTGCTGTACTTTTGTTAGTGTAAAATAAAGCCAGTTTGTATGGCTTCCCTTTGGCTGTGATCATTTTTTAGTTGTCTCACAGGAATACATTCTCCAAAAGTTAACTCTGTTGGTCTCTCATATTTCTTTGTTTCTTTGCACTATTTCTTTCTGTTTTGTGCAAAGTGCCAGTTTTATAACATTTCAACAGTGAAGAAGGAAAGTAAGGCTGTAAAATTAAACCTTGAATCCTTGGCCTTCTTGCCTTCAGCATGGTACAAATCCATTACTACATATGCCCTTCAAAATGTTAATTTGTGAGGTAATTTTCTTTTTTCCCATTTAAATCTTTCCTTGCCTTATTAATTTGAAAATCAAAATTTTAATGTCCTTGGGGCAAAGGAGTTGGAATAGGCAGGACCTGTCAAGGCCATTAAGTGGATTTTTTACCCTTGTACTGCCAAACCAAAGTGAATCAGAGAAGGCTTTAACATCCAGAGTAATCCTTCGGGTGAAAAAAAGATTCCTGAGAACAAACCCTTTTTTAACTTTGGAGAGCCTGCCTAAAGATTGCTTTCTCCAGGTTAATGGTTGAAATTTGTTTTCTGTGTGCCATCTTCAAGTTCAGCAGCCATTTTGGTGGTTGTCTTGATGGATTCTAACATCTGGTCATGGTGGTCATGAATAGGCAAACCAAACCTGGAGGAAAAGCCGCAGGAACTTTTAAAATGCTTTGTGTGGTGTCTCCCAGTCCCCATTTCCTCACCCCCCCCCCCAGTCTTTAACTGTTTAGTTGCCAGTTGAGCCCTAGATTTGAATTTATGTCCTTTTATGGGGAGGTTTAGAAAGCAGCAAGAATAAAGCCTGGCTTAATTCACTGAAGAGAACCCAGATGCTGCTCTGGTTTCATGATTGTATATTCAAACATTCTGATTCAAAACTGTGGAGCCTGATTCACTTACACGACTAGTTCCAGAATTTGTGGGGCCTACTGCAAAATGGAAAACGGGCCCTCTTGTTAAATTCAGAATTTCAAGATGGTGCTAAGAACATTAAACCAAACAATGGCTCTTATCACACAGGTTGTACACCCACAAAGCCAGGCCTGGGCCATGTGTGTGCCTCTGAGCTTATGTGTACGCATATCCTTGTATTTGTAGTGTGTGAGTTCAGTCCAGTGGTGTTGTGACCTGTGTGCTGTTGCCTGCTTTGACGAGTAAGAGTGTAACTGTAAAGCCTTTCCTCCCTTCTCCAAAAAGCGAATTATGCTGGCTTCTTTCCTACGGATTTGGGTTGCCTCTAGTCATGAATTGAGTTTTCCAGACAGGGAAATTGATAATGGACATCTGTGGAAGTCGTTTGTTTTTGGTGGGAGGAAAATCAAGGACATTTTATTGTTAATGACTTTTCACCTACTTTTACTGCACACCTGTAATGCCTAGTTTGGTGGCTTAGAGAATATGGAGTGTTTCTGGGCTTTCTTATTAAGGCAGAGGCTCCATACAAGGTTGCTGATGATTGTTCTAAATTCCCATTGTTTTCTTGGCTTTTCTCCCTTGGTTTATGTGTCGTCTGGAAACTGATTTGTAGTTGGTGAGGTAACATACGTGGAGCTCTTAATGGACGCTGAAGGAAAGTCAAGGGTAAGTGTCTGAGAGAATTTCTTCTGTGGATTTACTACATGACAAATGTAACTGTATGGTGACGTGGACTCGAATGATATCAGGAAGGCAGTGAGTGCTCATGTTATAGTAGCTATGTTTGATTTTGCCAACATTTGAGTGGGGTGGGAGGGGGTTTGCAAATGGGAGTCCCGCTTTTCCAAATGGCTGGCCAAAGAGTGCTTTGGTATTCTGTTTGGATGCCCAATTTGGATAACTGGGGACCAATAGCAAGCAGCATTGTTTCTTTGTTAACAGAGGAATTGGCTGTGTGAATTATGCATGGAATTTTAGCGGTGGTATAATTAATGTAAAACGTGTGTTCTTGTCTAGAAAATGTTACTCTTGGTTGTTTGCTGAATTTGAAAGTTGTGTGAATCCAAGATTTTGAAAAGTTGCCTTTGTGCCAGTAAATTGTAAACCAAATACTATAACCTGAATGTTCAAAATTGGCCTAGTTTAACGAGAACATACTCTATTTTCTGTTGTGCAATAGAATGGCTTAGAATAATCAAAAGGACGAGCTTAATTTATGGGACGGATGGATCTAGTAGGAGTATGATAAGGGATTGATTGAGTACAGAGGGAAGCAGATCTAAAGCTTGTGTGATTTCTTGGAGAACCTGAATTTAGTTCTGCTCATTATAACTACAGCAGGTACAGTGCAATGCTGGTAATGTGTAGGGAAAGGAGAGGTTAAAGAGCCCCAGCTTTTAATAAGGAAGGCTAGTAGGCAGTTCTGTCACCTTTCCCTGAGAAGAGTTAATTTTTAAAAAACTAACTTTATTAAATAAATCATTTTTGTTTATAACTGTCGTTGATATTTACTATTTTTCTTTTTTTTCTCCCCTTTCCTTGCTCTTCTGACTGGTCTGTGTCTTCTTCCAAAGGGATGTGCGTAAGTATCCTCTAGTTTCCTATTGGCATTTGAGACTTTCAAGTTGTAGGACTGGTTTCACTCATTTCCTTTTGACTCTTCATAGTGTGGTTGAATTCAAGATGGAAGAAAGCATGAAAAAAGCTGCTGAAGTTCTAAACAAGCATAGTCTGAGTGGAAGACCACTGAAAGTCAAAGAAGTAAGCACTCTCTTTAAACTTT